TCAGTAACTTTTTCTAAAATCAACATCTTGTTTTGTTAGACTTTTCTTCCCTCTTTCATTCCATTGATTTCTGCGCCCCCTTTTTTGGGCCACTTGTTTTGCTCTTGTTCCTGTGGATTTGCTTTATTGCTGATTTTCCCACTGTTTGCTTTAAATTGTTTGTTCATTGTAGAAAAAAACTATTTATTGGATCAAGTTTTTATCAAATGCTTTTTTTCCATCTGTGGTGATAGTCATCTGGTTTTCCTCTGTTAACCTATGAATGTGGAGAATCAATCAATTGATTAAATCAGAAAGTAATATTTTATTCAGGACTTTTTTGATTCACGAGAGAAATAGACTGTGGTTTTCCCTGTTTATGCTGTGCTTGACTATTTTTTCAGATTCTATTTTTTTAAATAATCTCTACACCCAGCGTGGGACTCGAACCCAAAACTCTGAGATCAAGAGTTGCCCACTCCGCGGACTGAGCCAGCTGGGTGTCCTGTCCTTGACTATTTGTGTGTGTGTGTGTGTATTAATATTGTAGTAACCTCATAAAATGAGTTGGGGAGTGTTACTTCTTTTCCTAATTGCTGGGTGGGTTTATGCAAAGTTGTAATGACTTGTTCCATGAAATGTCATATGAAGCAACGGTTACTGAGACAGGACGGTCTTGATGCCGGCTTAAACAAGTAAATGAATGTGAAGAACAGAGAGCCCCATAAAAGACCCACAAGTACTAAAATATAATGAGGCAGGGGCCACAGAGAATCGGAAAAAGATAACTATTTAACAAAGGCTGTTGAAATCATTGTTTATCCTTAGGGGGAAAGTGAAATTGGATTTCTCCATCATACCTCACAAAAATCAACTTCAGGTGGACTGAAGACTTTCGTGTGGAAGGGAAAACTTTAAGAATGCAAGAGAAGGGGCGCCTGGGTGGCTCAGTGGGTTAAAGCCTCTGCCTTCAGCTCAAGTCATGATCCCAGGGTCCTGGGATGGAGCCCTGCATCGGGCTCTCTGCTCAGCGGGGAGCCTGCTTCCCTTCCTCTCTCTCTGCCTGCCTCTCTGCCTACTTGTGATCTCTGTCTGTCAAGTAAATAATAAAATCTTAAAAAAAAAAAAGAATGCAAGAGAATATGGTTCGCCCCTCGGGGCAGGGAAGGCTTTCTTAGGGGACTGCATGATACTATAATGATGGACACATGCCATTATACGTTTGTCCACACTCACTGGAGGCACACCACTGAGAGTGACTCCTTCAGGTAAACCTCGAGGGGTACTAATGTGTAGGTTCATCCATTGTGGCAAATGTACCCATTCTAGTGGGGGATGTTGATGGGAGGAAGTTATGCAGGTGTGGGGGTGGGGTATATGGGAAATCTCCATACCTTCCTCTCGACCTTTTTAAAAAATATTTTATTTATTTATTTATTTATTTGAGAGAGAGCAAGAGAGATCACAGAGGAAGGAGAGTAGACTCCCCACCCCCCAGGGCAGGGCTCGATCCCAGGACCCTGAGATCATGACTTGAGCCCAAGGGAGAAGCTTAACCAGAAGCTTAGCCACCTGAACCAGCCAGGTGCACACCCCCACCCCGCCCGCTCCTTCCTCTCAATTTTGTCGTCAACTTAAAACTGCTCTGAAAGAAAGAAGGAAAGTAAGACTCTTAGTTAGGGGCGCCTGGGTGGCTCAGCGGGTTAAAGCCTCTGCTTTCGGCTCAGGTCATGATCTCAGGGTCCTGGGATCAAACCCCTGCAGTCCTGGGATGGAGCCCAGCATGGCATCTGGGCTCTCTGCTCAGCAGGGAGCCTGCTTCCCTTCCTCTCTCTGTCTGCCTCTCTGCCTACTTGTGATCTCTGTCTGTCAAATAAATAAATAAAATCTTTTAAAAAAAGACTCTTATTTAAAAACAAAAACAAAAACCTTGGGGCACCTGGCTGGCTCAGTCATGGAACATACAACTCCTGATCTAGGGGACTGTAAGTATGAACCCCATGCTGAGCCTAGAGATTACTTAAAGAATAAAATCTTAAAGGAAAAAAAAAAGCTAGCTGTATCTATAGCTGCATATAGTAAAATATGGTAATGGGCTAGATTTTTGCCCCTCACCACAGATTCCTATGTTGAAGCCCAGCACCTTAGAATGTGACTGTATTTTGAAATAAGGTCATTAGAAAGAGAAAGCACAAGCAAGAGGAGTGGGAGAGGGAGAAGCAGGCTCCCGGCTGAGTAGGAAGCCTGATGCAGGGCTCGATCCCAGGACCCTGGGATCATGACCTGAGCCGAAGGCAGACACTTAACCCACTGAGCCGGGTCCCCCAAATTAAGGGCTTTAAAAGGAAGCCCTTAGAGTCGGCCCTAATCCAAGCTGATTGGTATCCTTCATAAGAGGACATCTGGACACAGAGAGAGACACCAGAATGCCTAAGCACAGACAGAAGACCGAGTGAGGACACAAAGAAAAGGCAGCCTGCCTGCTGACACCTGCATCTTCAACTTCCAGCTTCCAGGACGGTGAGAAATACCATTTCTGTTGTTTAAACTACCCTGTCTTTGGTACTTCTAGAATACTCTAGAATACTAACTCTAGAATACTAACGCAGATATTCTTGCTACAAAGCTCAAAAACAGGCAAAAAGAAATCATATGCTGTTTGGGGACGTGTATATACGTGCCAAAGTAATCATGGAAATTGAATGAAGGATAGACATGATTCAGGATCGTGGTTACAGGTGGGCATGAAGGAAAGAGTAGTAAATAATAATGTCCTAGTATTAAATCGAATGGTAAATTAATGGGCAGTCTCCCTGTACCTCGGTCCTTACACACAGATTATTTTGCATGTACCCACCACTGCCCAAAAGATTGTTTTGAAGGCAGAGCCAGTGTTCTACTTCCCACCACCTCTGTCCTCCAAATCCACCCCAGCTCTGGCTTCCTGCCCGGAAGGCTGCCAGGAGCTGTCACGGCTCAGGGTTAGAAGCTGAAGTCCAGTTGCATTTGGAGTAGGTGGAAATAGACTGAGAAGGGAAGGTTACTTGCCTCCTGCAAGAATTTCCAAAACCAGGCTCATGCTGCCATCTGGCCTGGCTCGCACAACCACCTGTGCTTTGGGGAAAAAGCGACTTGCTGCTGGAATGACAGAGGCTGGCATTTTAAGAGGCGGTGGTAGCTTGGGGCTGGAGCAGAGAAGAGGTTGTTCAAATGAATGAATAAAGAACACAGGGCTGGCACGGAAAAGCCTGTAGAAGCCAGGAGGGGCCATGTTCAAAGTGAACCACTGAGGACAGAAACAGGACCTAAAACAAAAGCAATCATTCCATGCTCTCCATGCTTCCCTCAACTGACCATAAGGAGGAAGGACACACTTCACCTCGTATATTGTGGTGGAGAATGAGTACCCTGAGTCGGATCACCACGAGGAAACGTCAGGCAAACTCAAGGGAGGAACTTCTATTTAAAAAAAAAGAAAAAAAAAAGGTTGGGTTGTTCTTCCAAAATGTCGATATCATAAATATGGAAATGTTCCAGATTCAAGGAGATGTGACAACAAAATGCAATCCCTGAGCCCAGACTGGATCCTGAACTAGAAGGGGAAAGTGCTGTGAGAGAGCATTTGGGTCAACTGATGAAACTGATGGCTCAAGACATTAGATAAAAAGAATCAGTAAATGTTACGTTTATTGAGGTTGAGGACCGTGGATAAGTAAGAGAGCATCTCTGTTTTTAGGAAATACACACAGAAGTATTCAGGGGTAAAGGGCGACGGTGTATGTAACTAAAACATGCTTCAGAAAATAGATGCACTTACTGAGAAACTAAAACCTGCTTGGACTGTAAACCTCTGCCTACCATTTATCTACACACACAGGTAAGGTTCCGGGCAGAGTTAATGGGCAACATTTCTCCCAGGGATACGCGGCACCTGTGAAGGGTCCTACCACCCGCTTTGTGAGCAAGGACTGCTCTCTTACTCACTGAGGAAGTTTGTTCTCTAAAATCACAGGCTTTACGAAACTTTGTTGTTTGAAAGTCTATCTGTAGGAATGGAACTTAGCCCACTTTTCCCGGAAGATCTACGTCACTTTGACACAGACAAGAAGCCTCAATTTCCAGCCCCGATGAAGAGCTTTATATAGAGTTTCTGGGCATAGCATGCCACGTTTATCTTAACTTTGTAGTTTCCAAGGAAACCGGATCCTGAGTCCACTTTGCAGTCCATAACTGTTGACTCATTTATACACATCCCTGCTTTGCTCTGAAGCTACCAAACCACAGTTTCACTCAAATTTCACCAAATTCTTCTCTTCCCCCGAATGCCGTAAGTTGATCACAGCTTCTCTTTTGGGATGTGGTCTCCTTCCCTGCAACTGGTCAGTAAACCTGATTTTAATTTGTTCCTGCTAATTGGGTTAGGACGGATGGGTGGGTGTTGGATGGATGGATGGATGGATGGATGAATAAGTAATGATAAATCCAAAGCAATGGGGTAAACTGTTAACAACAGATAAATCTGGGTAGAAACTATTTGTGTTTGGGCAGGTTATCTGTAAGCTTGATATTATTTCCAAACAAAAAGTGTGTGTGCTTTTTTTTAGAGAAACTAAGTTTAGTTTGGACCAGTATTTAGCCATTTTTTTCGAGGCCAAGGAAGAATTTTTATGTCGTATTTTATGTTGTAATTTAGTACATATTCAAGATACTCATATTTTGAGAAATATTTGTTCCCGTTTTCTACGCATTTTCATATTTTCTATGCACTTGTGTTTTAAAAGACGCTTATTACCATTTTACAATTATCCGTGGAAATTCGCCCGTATTTTTAAAAACTCTTGGAAAGGTCTGAGCACTGGTTACAATCTAAGCCTAAATGAATGTCAAGACTTCGACTTTGGGTTTTTCTCCCCGTTGACGCGTAACGGGACTACATTTCCCAAAATACCTTTGGGGCGAGGCCCAGCGGGGGGTGGGGGGGGAGGGGTGTGAGCTGTGATTGGAGACGGCCAAGTTCCTACCTGTCACTGGGGAGGAGGGGGCGGGATTTTCGAGAGGACCTCCATGACGTTCCCGATGGCTGCTGGGAAACGTGGTTCTGGGAAGAAGGGAAAGGCCTGCCGCTCGGACTCCTGGGACTTGTAGTCTTGGCAAACTGGTGTCGACCGGGTTTTTCCTCCGCTGGGTCATCTCAGGGATTGGGCCCTTCCTCCACCACCGCCCTGGAATCTCTTCATGCATCGATCCCAGGCAGCCGCGGAGACCTTCTCTGGTCCGCGTCTCCGAGCTCTCTAACCGCATGTGCTCCACAGAAAGTCAGGGCGGGGGCATTGGCAAACGCTGGTCTTTAGCAGGCCTGGGAGGGCTTCTAGGAGGTGAGGGAGACAGGGTCCCTATGAACGGAACTGAGTCAGGAATCAGTCCAAAATGCATCTACACGGGAGCTGATCTGATGCTTAAACAATCCTTGCAAAACGCCCTTCACCACCATCCCACGCTCCCACCTCTGTGTGGATGTAAGTCTATGTCCAGGCTTAGTATGACAATGACCAAACAGTGACACCTAGAGTAATGGACGGTGTAATAAGGAAAGCCCCCAAGTATGTGGGAGCCCAGGGAAGGCTCTGGACTTAGCCTGGGGAAGGGCAGGGAGGAAGAGAAGCAGAGATAGAACTCATCTCAAGGTCCCAAACATGGCACCATATAGGCGTCTTCCTTTCCAGAAAGAGCTCCCCTATGCCTGGGGATGGTGGGGGCACAGAGTTGGTCATACCCAGCCCTGTCCAGCGAGGCTCCCTGGTCTGGCTGATCAGGGCTTACTTAGCTCAGAAGAGAACTCAGCATTTATGAACATCACAGGGGCACCATACCCTACTGGGGGGAGGGGTAGCAGGTTGTTCAGGGTGACACATTGGCCAATTCTTGAAAGAAGCTGTACATATGCAAAGGCAGCGTCTGGATAGAGCATGCAGAGGTAAGGGGGAGGTTAAAATTGCCACGTGAGAGTCAGATCTGGTGTTGTAAGGACCCCTCTGTATCCAGCACTCTTCTAGGAGGTAGACACTCTTACCCCCATTGTACAGATGGGGACACTGAGGCACAGGGATTATATCTAACTTTATGTGCCTGATAGGTAAGTGGCCAAGATAGGATTAGAACCCAGGACGTCTGGCTCCAGAGTCCAGGCAGGTAACCACTGACCTACTCCGTATTCACCCACCCACTTTCCAGAATGTCAGGTGTGTAATGGTGGGCCCCTTCCAGGCAGTAGCAGTTACCCATGTCTACCTAATATGCCCTCTGGTCGCCTAGAAGACAACCTGCTGCCTTCCCCGACCCCAGGAAACAAGTTCAGAGGAAGAATAATTTTGAGCAAGGTCTTCAGTCCCCCAGTTGAAGCTTTCCTGACTAGAGCCCCTCCCCACCCCCTCACCCCCTCACCATTCCCCATTCTGTTACTCCTGTAGGGGCTGTGGGGCTGAGAAATGACAGGGGTGGAGATGACAGGGATGGCTCATTCCTCCCACTGGTGGATCCAGTGGTGACATTTAGGCTGGTGATACCATGGTGAAGGAGAGGAAGGGATATAAGGACAGACAAGGTCACACTACATTTCCTGGGCTCCATGATGATGTCAGGGTCAGGCTCATGTTGCCACTATTGCGGGGGGGGGGGTGAGGGGGGAGTGAGGGGGAGCTGGGTAATTCCAAAAGAAGAGCTCCTCCTTCAAAGAGTGCTGTCCTCTGTGCTGAGGCCCAGGCTGGCCCACTCTGGAGTATTCTGACTCAGGGAACGAATGTATGAAAAAGGTAAAGAAAAGTAGCATGTGACTCACATTCAACCATCTTCAAAATGCTCACTTTCCTGGGCTCCCCAGAACTTTCCAAGAGCTAATACAAGGTGGGATGATTATTCCCATGTTCAGGTGAGGAAACTGAGGCTCACAGAGGAGGGACTGGCTTATGGCCTCACAGGCAGGGAGTAGAGAAGGAAACACTGGGAGGGAGCCTAAGTTTCCAGGATGTACAGGTTAAGCTTGCTTCTCAACACATGCCCCTGGGGGTAGGGGAAGGGAGTGGGGCAGGGCCCAACATTACATGATGCAGAGGAACCATCTGGTGGCAAGAGTGTGAGATACACCAACTAAACAAAATTAAAGGGGCTATTTCCTGCAGGACTTGTCAGAACCTTTAGCTCCTTTGTATTTCCCAGATCTCTTTGACCAGGACCAAGGCAAAGGCCTGGACAATGACTGACAGACCCTGTGTCCCAAAGGCCATGAGTGGGACACAACAGGAGTAGACACGTCAGCAGCACGTGCACACGTGCACTCCAGGCATCTATGTGCAGGAGCAGATGATGTGTGTACATTTGTACATGTGTTCTCCATCACTCTGATTCTGGGGTTCAAACGATACCTGTAAACGCGGAACAGGACAGGCATCCAAAGGCCAGGGTCTTGCCCTTCCAGGCTTGCCCGGTGACGGGATAAGACCAAAAGTGCCTCCACCGCCCGCTCAAGTCTGATTCCACAAGGCTTTATTGGCGTGTAACAGCCTGGTGCCCGCCGCTCCCAAGAAAGACACAGGCGAGGAAGGGCTCTCGGCTCCACAGAAGACCCCTTGGGATCGCCCAGCCAGGGGGAACACGCTTCCATCCGTAGGTAGGGAGAAAAGGTGGGAAGGGCGTACTCGCAGGATGAACCGCCCAGCCAAAGGGCGAGTGGTGGGATGGGCTGGAGACGCGAGGACAGGCCCCGCTAGAAGGGGTACTCGCAGACGTAGTAGAGGCGGCGTTCGCAGTCGTGGTCCCACCAGGAGCCGTCATCCGAGGCTTGCGCCACGCAGTTCTCGAGCGTGCCGCCGTTGGGCTGGTTGGGGCTGAGCGGGTGCGGCGCGGGGCTAGGACCGGCTCCGGGCTCCGGACGGGGCGCGCGGTGCCAAGCGAAGAAGGACACGCGCTGGCCGTTCTCGAAGAGATATAGTCCCTCGGAGCGCCGGTCGTGCACGCCCAGCCACACGGGCCAGTTGTAGGGAGCGAGGGCCCCGCGCAAGTAACGAGTGAGCGCCTCCATCTGCTGGCGGTCTGCGGGCTGTGCCAGGCTCCCGCCCCGTGCCACGCACCGCGCCTGCGCCGCCGCCTGCGCCTCGAAGTCGCGCGATAGCAGGAAGCACTTGTGGCCAAGGCGCAGCCCCTTCAAGCAGCCTGGAGGCGAGGAGGGGCGGGGTCAGGGGGTCCGGGGGCGGGGGGGGAAGGCGGGGTCGGAGCCTCCGGGGCGGGGCTGGGAGGAGGCGGGGTCGGAGCCACCCGGAGTAAGGAGGCGGAGAGTTGGGACCACTGGGGGCGGGGCCAGACGGCTGGAACCGGACTGTAGGGGGCGTGGCGCGGCCCGAGTCGGGTACGCTCCACAGCGCTGTAGGAGCGGGCCTCCCCCTCCGCGCGCCGGCTCTCCGCATTCACCCTCCCGGCTACTCTAAGCTCTCCATAAGCCAACACCGTGCACATCTCTAGGAAGCCGCTCTCCCCTAACACCCTGGGTCCTCACGTCTCTTCAGATGTTTCTGGGCCCCCTCCTTCCACCGGTCCTCCACTTGACCCGGATCGTCCCACTTTCCCTGCCCCGCGCGGCGCGGACTCACCCTCTAAGCGGCCATGCTCGCGCTCGGCGCGCCTCTGCGTCTCCTGCAGGGCTTCCACGGCGTCGCGGGTGTCGCTTGCCGCCTCCCGCAGCTGCCGCAGCCCCCGAGTCAACTCGACCACGCGGGTGTCCAACGCGTGCAGACGGACGTGCAGCTGGTGCAGGCCCGCGTCCAGGCCGGCCAGGCGGCCCACTGCGGGCAGACAAGGAGCACGCTGGACGGGACCTGGGAAGCGGAGCTGGAGGACCAAAGGGCCTGGGGGGCAGCTAGGGCTTCTGGGGGTAGAGTTGCGGTGGGCGGCACTCGGGATTTCTGGAAGGTAGGGGCTCTTGGGAGTGCAAGACCAGGGACGCGGAGCTCCCAGGGACGTGAGGGGTGGGGGGCTGGGCGGTGGGCCATTGAAAGGTCCGCGGCAGGGAAAGGAATGTTCGTTTTTTGAGAAAAGGACCACAGAGGCCTGGGGGCAGGGCGGAGTTAATGATTACTCACGGATATAAGTGACGGTGTCCTCAGGGGTGGGAGAGGGGCTAGGGCTAGAGGAGGGCGTTGGCGTTGTTTCCTCCTCTTCCTCCCCCTGACCGTACTCCTCGGTCCTCCAGGTCTCTTTGTCTTCAGGGGTTCCCTCAGGGTTTTCGTCCCCCCTCCCAGCGGGCAGTCCCAGGGCCTCCTGCAAATGCTGAGGCGGGGGATGGATGGTTAGGGCCAGCCCAGCTGCGTTCAGACGCCCCACACGCTCCAACCACCCCTTTCCAGCAGTGAGCCTTGCCCCTGAGTCCCTTGTCAGAATCCATCATCCCCATCCTTTGAGCCTGCCCCATCACTCACTCTCCCTCGCCTATTTCCCTAACCCTGTAATACCCTCCCTCCAACACCTACAGTTCCCCATCAAAGTCCCAAGCAGCTCACCTTCAGCATCAGGGCTTCCCTTTCCCGCTCCTCCTCTTGGGCGCCTCCCCAGACCCCCTCCCACTCCCTGTCCGCTCCTCGAGCCCCATGGCTAAAGCCCAGGAGCTGAGGGACCACCAGGGCCCCAAGCAGCCAGGCTGCCTGCATCAGGCTGAGCTCTGCAGCTCCCAAGGCTACAGACGGATGTCTCTGGGCGCTGGGGAGTGCGTGCAAATTACTAGTCCCTGGTTTCTGCCTCTCCCAGCTTCTCTCCGGTCCCTTTCCTCCCAGCTCTTGTCTCTGTCCACCAGTCTGTTCGTCCGTTGGTCTCTGCTCCTCTGTGTGTGTGTCTCTCCCCGCCTCTCTTGGCTCCCTTGAGGCCCTGCCTCTGTGGCCGGAAACCTCCAACGTTCCAAAGCCTGGATCCCGCCTTGGGTCTCCCCACATACCCCCCTCTTCCCACTTTCCAGAGCTCACTTCCGCCCTGCCCTTTCCTTCCACCATGGCCAAAAGCTCAGATGGCCCGAAGAGGATGGAGCTGGCTCTCCAAAGGATCCTGGGGACGTGACCTGTGCCCAGGAACACCCTCAGGGAGTTCTTGGGGCTTGGCCCTGCTCCCTACTCCTCCTCCTGGCCACTCTTCCAGAGCAGGGAGACTGCAGGGTCTCCATAAGGTTTTTATTACCCTGTGACCACCATCGCCCACGCACCCTGCTGGAGGAGGCTTTCCCAGGATTCACAGGCTCTAGGGCGCCTCCTGCCCCCAGATCTCCCATCCTGGCCTCAAGCCCTTGCCCCAAGATGAAAATGAGTGTGTGTGCCTGTCTGTGGGGACACATAAGGAGAGTATGCATGTCACTGTGCGGGCAACTGTAGAAGGTGGGGTTCTGGGATTCATTGGCTGTACTCTCCTGGAAGCCTCCGGCAGGCCCAGGCCCTGGGTGGGGCAATGCTGGGAACTCCAGCCCTCACCTACAGGCAGACAGTAGGGCAAAAGGGAGCGTGGAAGGGTGGGTGGGTGGTGGTCAAGGAAGCTTGCTCCAGGAGGTGGAGTAGACAGACGCAGGGCGGGCTCGCTGTGTGGAGCTCTGAGCATTCAGCGGTGCCTCGCCTCCCGCCTGGACCACTGCAGTCACCACCTCCTGGCTCTCTCCTTCCTTTCTCCCTAGCCCCTCCAATCCACACTGCTTGCCGCAGCCAGAGCAATGCTTCCAAACCTTAAATCAGATCACGTCACTCCCCACTCCCCTGCTCCCCCAGCTTCCCATCATATGCAGGAGGGAAGCCAAATCCTGTCCTCAGCAGGGGCCTGGACTGCCCAGTGGGAAGCTGGGAAGGATGGGCCCTTGGCACCTTGGCAAGCTCATCACCCGCCCCTCCCCTTGCCCCCCAGGCTCCAGCCACACCGCCTCTCCACTGTTTCCTGAATGCCAAGCTCCTTCCTACCTCAAGCTTTTGCACTAGCCTTTTGCTCCTTCTAGATCCTCTTCCCACAGCTCCTTCTCATTATGAAGGTCTCAGCTCAGTGAGGCCTTCTCGATCATATCCAAGGAAGCTGCGCTTCTACAACTTAACAGCCCATTTTATCTTGTTGGTCTAATCAAGACTGGATTGTCTTGCTTGTTCATTTCCTCGTTTGTTGTCAGACTCCTGCCAACCAAGGCAGGCATCCCCAGAGCGAGGACAAGGCCAACCTAACACACAGTAGGTGCTCAATCAGTCTGCTCCATGAGGAAAGAAATAGCCATTCCTGGTAGGGTAACAGCTCAGCCAAAGGCTGAAGGCTGGACCCCTGTGTTTAGGTGGCATCCCAAGTTCCCTGGGGCAGGGGCACAGGGGCATGCTGGGGAGGGGCTGGTGGTCACCAGGGTGGAGGTGGTGAGGGCAATGAGAGAGAAGCTGCGGACATAAGGGAAGCAGGAGGCCACGCCAGGCCCACTCTCTGCCAGACCCGTGAGTCATGCAGGGCTTTCCCAGCTGGGGCCTGGCTGGTTGTGCCAGCCGCCATGGAGCTCAGCAGCCTGGGACTGCAGGGCTCACTCTTCAAGGGAAGAAACTGAGGCTCAGAGAAGGGGACGACGCAGCCTGCTGGAGGTCACCAGCG